CGATCATTACCTTTGTCCGACAAAGGGGCTGATCCTGTCACTATGATCACCCACTCAGATGAATTCTCGGATTATCCCAACATGCCCAAGTTTTGACCCCCACTAAAGATCTCACTGATTGGCACATCAAAGACAGTCCAATCCGACACCTAGTGCAGTATCATAATCGAGTCTAGGGCTCAGGTGTAACTTTCCAGTTTTGCCCATCAATCTCCAAGGTCTATGGCAATGTTGGAAATTTGGTCTGGTTCAAAGATTCAATTAATCCTACACTGCATGTGTCTTGGGTCTCACCCTGGCGACTGAGACAGGCCACCCCAACATTTGACAGCACACCAGTGTCAGCCTTGGCAGGATAAATCTCCCCAGACTTATCCAACAGCTATGAACATTCTAAACTAACACGAGTCTCATAAGTGTCCAGTTTAAGGGTATTACACAGAAACACACCACAGGAAMAYGAATCAAATAWGYACTTTATTCATTTAYAAYAAATTCATAATGTACATCATTCTGATTGGAGCTAAGGGCATAGAGATACACATACGGCTGCAGCAGAGAGAGTTTTGTGTTAATTGAAGGGTACATAGGAAAAGGTATCTTCTTTGGAAAGCATGGTCATAGGAAACTCGAAGCATATACAGATGCAGACTGGGTAGGATGCATTGATGATAGGAGGTCTACATCTAGGTATTGTACTATGGTTGTTGGAAATTTGTTTTTTTGGAGGAGCTAGAAACCATCAGTGGTGGCTAGGTCTTCAGTTGAGGTATAATGTAGAGCCATGGCACATGGTGTATTTGAACTTTTATGGTTACAATCTCTGATGGAGGAGGTGGGTGTTGAATATGATAAGCCCTTGATGCTATGTTGTGTCAATCAGGTGGCCATTAACATAGAACATAGCTCTATTCAACATGACTGGATGAAGCATATTGAGGTGGACAATCACTTCATTAGAGAGAGAGAGTGGCAACTGGAGAAGTTTGCCTACATTTCGTTGCATCTGAAGAGCAACTGGTCGACGTACATACCAAGGGAGTTCCTAAAGCTAAATTGCAGCAGTATGTATGCAAGCTGGGCGTGATTGATATCTATCCTGCAAAGGTCTTGTTCAATAATTCCTTTTCTTTTTTAGATCTTGGATCAAGATGAATCTAGTATCTCTCCTCCACTTTACTGTCATAACTTTCTTCCTCTTCCCTTGTTTCTGGAAATTTACTTCTCCTATCTTTCTTGTCAACTAGAACTTTCTCAGTTCTTGCTTATTCCTCACCATTTTGACCCAATCCCAAATCAGTTTCAACCATTCTGTTGCTGTTATTTATCCTGGCCTCACTTTCTTTTGTCCTTGTCTTTGATCGATTCCCAAACCAGTTCCCACCTCCTTTATTTCCTGGAACCTAACAGCCACATCCCTGTCTTTCTCTTGAGAACAGCCCCCACTCCCCTTCTCTGCCGTGCCCTCTTTGGCTAGGAAAGAGTTTCTGTTCACAGTCTCCTTTCTCGACAAGACCTCCCTTAGTTCCTTGCTATCTTCAAACCCCAACATAGCAGTAAAGTAACTAAAATTCCTTTGCTCGACATATATGAAAAAAATACCCCATTACAACTTTCTGAACATAGGGTTTTTGGTACTTTGCTACCAAATGCCACTCTTCTTTTGTTGAATGTTGCATTTGTTGGGCTGTTATGTACTTTTATGTCACAACCCAACATAGAGTACAATGTTGCACAACTTTTCCTTTTGGAACTTTCGTAGCCAAACAATGTTTCCTAGCACCAATACTAAAGTCTAAAACTCACTTTTGGCATCATAAATAACATGTAAAATATGCATGTGTTCACATACTCATAGTTACATGC